GATGGAAAGAACAGAAGCAGTGATCAATGGGTAAAAAAGCAATTTTCAATGGGTTTCCATTTGATTGGTTAGGTTAGAAAATTATATAGTTTGGGTGTTTGAGTGTTTGAATGATGAAAAAATGGTTTAATCAGTGTTTTGGAATAGATGTTTGGTTGGTGAGAAAATTGTAATGTTTATGAAGAAAATTTGCAGAGAAAATTTGATGAGGAAATTTGTGATTTAATCTGTGATTTAATTAGAAATTAAATAAAAAAAATTTTAAGTGGACACGTTTTTAATTTATTTTTGCCACGTCAGCAAAAAAAATTATAAAAAATGCCACGTAAGCGAGTTAACGGCTCAAATTAACAGAAGGACTAACGGAGTGCATTTCGTGAAGTTGAGGGATCAAAAAAGTGCAAAAAATTGTTGAGGGACCAAAAATGTTCATTTCTTAAAGTTGAGGGACCAAATTAAGCATTTAACCAATTCTCAAATAAGGACCCAATTGGACGGAAAATTAACTTCCGGTTAAATCTCCTATTATTCCGTTAATGTTCCGTCACACTTCACACCCGCCACTTAAAAAAATTGATTAAATTCTAATTTTGGTCCCTCAACTTTATTAAATTACACTTTTTTTCCCTCAACTTCATTTAAATTGCACTTTTTGTCCCTTAACTTGATTAAATTGCACTTTCTTATCCTTCAACTTTATTAAGTTATACTTTTTTGGTCTTTAAACTATTTTTTGCACTTTTTTGGTCCTTAAACTATTTTTTACACTTTTTTTATCCTTTAACTTTAACAACTACACAATTTTGATACTTTCGTCAATTTAAACCATTAACTTCATTTATGTGGCATTTTTTATATTTTTTTGATGACATGTATAATCTAACTGGAAAAAAATAATAACATAGATCATTTAACTAAAAATAATGATGACATGAATAAATAAAATAATATGTCGATAAATTTTTATATTTTTAATAAAAATAAAAAAACCTCTCCACCTATTTTCTTCCCCTGCTAGAAAAAAGAGAAATAAAGAGGGGGAAGAAAATAGGTAGAGAGGTTTTTATATTTTTTTATAAAAAATATCAATATTTATTTACATGTTATTTTATTTATTCATGTTATCATTTTTTTTAGTTAGATTATATACGTCATCAAAAAAATATAAAAAATACCAAGTGAGTGGAGTTAATGGATTAAACTGATGAAAGTATCAAAATTGTGCAGTTATTAAAGTTAAGAGATTAAAAAAGTGTAAAAAATAATTTAAGGACCAAAAAATTACAAAAAATAATTTATGAACCAAAAAAGTACAAAAATAAAGTTGAGGGATAAAAAAGTGAAATTTAATGAAGTTCAGGGACAAAAAAGTGAAACTTAATGAAGTTGAGGGACCAAAATTAGCATTTAACCAATTTTTTTCAAGTGGCGGGTGTGAAATGTGACGGAACAT